ATTTGAATATCTAATAATAATTTCAGAAAATAGTCTTCCAAATTAACTCAAATTCTTATTAATAGTTGGTAAATGGAATAAAGAAAATTCATATATTGTTTCATTATAGAAAAACACTTAATAGTTATTTTTAAATGAAAATTATATTCAATTATCCTTTCTTTTTATTTTTTTTTAAAGATTTTATTTATTTATTCATGAGAGACACAGAAAGAGAGAGGGAGGCAGAGACACAGGCAGAGGGAGAAGCAGGCTCCATGCAGGGAGCCCAATGTGGGACTCGATCCCAGGACCCCAGGATCACATCCTGGGCTGAAGGCAGACGCTAAACCCCTGAGCCACCCAGGCATCCCTTATCCTTTTTTTTTTTTAAATGGCAATTCTAATTAATTTTTGTGTGTGACTGTAGAGAACCCAAATCTTTTTTTCTTTTTAAGATTTTATTTTTAAGTAATCTCTATACCCAACGTGGGGCTTAAGCTCACAATCCCAAAATGAAGAGTAGCATGCTCTTCCAACTGAGCCAGCCAGGTGCCCCTTAGAATTCAAATTTTAAGATACATACCTACTGAAAGAAATAACAAAAAATTAACAAATTTTTCAATATTGTTTTTTTCCCCCAGACACTCGGCTAAGTTACCCTCTTGATATACTAAAACAAAACCTACTGGGAGAATGACACCTTTCTTGTTTGATAAGCAAAGTTTTATATGGAGTTCCAAAATAATCCAATGATTCTCACACTGCATGTACAGTGACTGACATGTAAACTAATAGCAGACATTAATTAGCTAATATAAGTTAGTATAGAGGGGATCCCTGGGTGGCTAAGTGGTTTAGCGCCTGCCTTTGGTCCAGGGCGTAATCCTTGAGTCCGGGTAATCGAGACCCATATCGGGCTCCCTACATTGGAGCCTGCTTCTCCCTCTGCCTATATCTCTGCCTCTCCCTCTCTCTGTGTGTCTCTCATGAATAAATAAAATCTTTTTAAAATTTTTTAATCTCTATATTAATTTATTTTTATTTTTTTTAAAGATTTTATTTATCTATCCATGAGAGACAGAGAGAGAGAGAGAGAGAGAGAGAGAGAGAGAGAGAGGCAGAGACATAGGCAGAGGGAAAAGCAGGCTTCATGCAGGGAGCCTGATGTGGGTCTTGATCCTGGGACTCCAGGATAACGCCCTGAGCTAAAGGCAGACAGACGCTCAACTACTGAGCCACCCAGGAGTCCCTGGAGATTAAATTCTAATTGATATTGTTTTCTAGAGAAAAGGAAGATGGCAGGGAGAAAATTAACCTTGATATTTTTTTACTATGGGCCAAAAATTGTACAATGTACTAAAGTCAACTCCTTTACATACACATATTAAATGTGAGCATATGTGATTATGATACTACCATCTCTTAGATTTAGTCCCTTGGGAAAGGTTTCCCCTTCAATTAAATTCCCCACAAAGTAAGTAATAATGACCAAGATGTATCAAAATTAAGTCTATTGCCATGAGTCCCAGGCAAACAAGTGAAAAGTCAAATAGAAAGACTATGTACCCTCATAAAATGAGTATTTTGATGTTTTAAGCTTTTTTCCTATAGGTTAGTAAATAGTATCTTCCAATGACTTTTCTCACTGAAAAAAAAATCCACCTTATTAATTAAGAACACATTTAGTCCAATTAAAAGCTCCTACATGGGAAGAAAATCCTGGGCGGCTCAGCGGTTTAGCGCTGCCTTCAGCCCAGGGTGTGATCCTGGAGACCCGGGATCAAGTCCCACGTCGGGCTCCCTGCATGGAGCCTGCTTCTTCCTCTGCCTGTGTCTCTGCCTGCCTCTCTCTCTCTCTCTCTCTCTCTCTCTCTGTCTCTCATGAATAAATAAATAAAATCTTTTTAAAAAAAATAGCTGATAAGCCCTTTTAAAGCCACCAAACCGGATTTCAACTGTGGTCTATAGGGTCACTTCACAGAGCAAAACTTCCCAGAGTAGCAAAAACAAAGCTTGTTAGCTCATGTCTGTGACAAAGGACCACTGTACAGCATACTGCTGCTTCTTTACTCAGTTTTCAGCAGTTTGATTATTCTTGAGCATGCCCCCCCCTTTTATTTTGGCTTTATCCTCTATCAGTTTACTGAACTTGCTAAATCTATAAATGTTTATCTTTTATCCAATGTTGGGAAGCTTTTGCCATTATGAGTTCACATAATTTTCCTGCAACAACCTCCCCTCTTTTTCTGGACTCTAATAACATAAATATCAACCCATTGAAATTGTCCCTCAGGACCCTAAGGCTCTGTCCTTTTTTATTTCCCCCAATCTTTTCTTTCTGTTCTTCTGTTTGGATAATTTCTATTGGTTTATCTTCAAGTTAAATTGACTCTTTCCTCTGTCAGTTCCATTCTGCTATAGAGCCCAGGTAGAGAAATTTTCATTTCAGATACTCTATTTTCCGGTTATAAAATCTCTACGTGCCTCCTCTTCTAGAGTTTTTATTTCTCAGTTGAGAATTTCTACCTTTCCATTTATTTCAAGTGTGTTTACTTTAAATAGCACATCATAATAGCTGCTTTCAATTACTTGATATTTCCAACAGCTAAATTATCTCAGGTTTGACACCTGTTAATTCTTTTCCTCTGAAAACTGAGTATAGTTTACTGTTTCCTCACAAGTCAAGTAATTTTAGACTATATCCTAGATATTATGATGTTATTATTGTGTAAGCCCTGTGCCCTGTGGCCTGTCATAATCCTTAGAAGAATACTGACTTTTGCTTGTTTATTTTAGCAGGTATATAACCTAGTCAGTTTAGATTGCAATTTCTGTTTCACGTTCTACAGACTGAGGTTCCAATGTCAATTCAGTCTTCAAAGCCTTTGCTATGCTATTTTGTGTCGGGTCCCATGAAATGTGCCACTCAGGGGTTACTCTGAGACTTGGGTGACAGTTTAAATCTTATTTTCAATAATCTGGGACTGTCACTCAAAGCCTGGGGTGACCTTGGGACTTATGCAGATTTATAGAGTATCAGGCAGTGCTCTTCTCCAGCTCTCTTCTCCAGAATTCCCCTCACACTCTCTGTCCCATAGGGTTCAATTTACCCGATTCTTCAGGCCAGAAAACCTTAATTTTAAGGTGTTTCAGGATTAATAGGGCCACTGAGTCATATAGTTTAATTCAAACTACATTTGGGATGCCTGGATGGCTCAGTGGTTGAGCATCTGCCTTCGGCTCAGAGCATGATCGCGGAGTCCTGGTATGGAGTCCCGCATCGGGCTCCCCACAAGAAGCCTGCTTCTCCCTCTGCCTATGTCTCTGCCTCTCTCTCTTTTGTGTCTCTCATGAATAAGTAAATAAAATCTTAAAAAAAAATCAAACTAGTACCTGATGAGGCATGAGCTTAGCTGCTATTCCTCCAAAAGGTAAAATGAAGGCCAGAAAAGACTATCATTACATTGGACAAAGACACATACAAACTATCTAAAACCATTATGTTCTAATGTAATTTTTTAAAAGTAAAAGTCTGACCTAAGAATAAAATATAATGAAGATAGATACATATAAAGACAGACAACTAAAACAACTAAAGTCATCAATGCCACCCTACTGAAGAAAAACTAGAAGTGTTAAGAAAGACAAAACTTGAAGGGTTACACAACAAGCTACTATGAAATCATGAAAGTGATGCATAGAGTAGGTCCCAGATACTCAGATTCAGCAAAGCCCCAAATATTCAGACTACAACATATATCTAGAAGCTTACATTCAGAAGAAATGAAATGAACTACTATTTTAAATAGCAAATATTTTAAAATGCTAGAATGAAAAGCCTAGTAAATAAATTTTAATAGATATTTCAATTAAATTGTGGAGAGCTGTCCATAATAGTAAATTCAGGAGAGCCAATGAAATCTGGGGTATGCTTACAACCTCTTCTGTGTCATTAAAAACAAGAGTGTCTATCTGCATATTCCATTCCATTCCATTAATAGATGGACATAGCCTTATTTTTACTATCCATTTTAAGGCCTTAGGAGTCTTATAGACAAGTACTGGCCAGAAGCTAATAAAACATCAGTAATTCTTAATTTATTCTACTTTACAGGATCACAGAAGATTATTAGCAAAACAAACATTTTACTTTTTAATTACCCTGACTCACATAAAGAAATGCCACATACTAAATACATCAAAAGTACAATAATATTTACAAAACTAAAGTTTCATTTTTAGGCTAAGAACAAGTCTTACAAATTTCGAATGGTAAGTAACTTTAAACACAACCAATGCTTTGATAAAGTCATTTTAATTCTTTTTCCATCCCCCAGCTATACTAAAGTATAATTTACAAAAAAGATTTTAAGATATTTAAAACATACAACATAATAATCCCTAAATATACACACTGTGAAAGGATTCCCCCCCATCGAATTAACACATCCATCACGTCACATATTTACCTTTTTTTAGTGAGAGTTTAAATTCTATTCTCTTAGCAAATTTCATTTACACAATACAGTGTTATCAACTATAGTCATGTTATATATTAGATCCTCATCATATGACTGAATGTTTTAATTCCTGAATTGCCTTAAAAACCAAGAATTATCAAAGAAATTTATTTTTTAATGTTTTATTTTTAAGTAGTCTCTACACTTAACAAGGGGCCTAAACCCACAACCCCAAGAGATGAAGAGATGCAACATTTCTAGGCACTCCATTAACTGAGTCAGCCAGGCGCCCCACCCTCCATTTACTTTAATACACTGAAAGTACTCTCTGAAGTTGCTACAGTTAAAAATATAATCCATATCCAAAAAGAGAAGAGAAAAAAACCTGACATTATCACTTCATTTTTACTGTACTTTGGCAGAATAAGGTACATCCTAGAGGGTTGTTTTTAAGTCAACAATTTAGCAATGTGAGATACTAAGTTTCATCAAAGAAGATCACTTGGAAATACATCTCCATATAGCAAAAAAGAATAAAAATACAGCAAAAATACATACTCCTTTTGGAAAGCCATACACATGGGAGAACTGAATCCAAAGATGAGACACATCTGGGCATCTGGACTGTAGCCATGCTGTAGTAACATTTCTAGGCACTCTTCATGCCCTCCAAACACTGCTGAATAAACGGGACTCACTTTGTCTGGCCCAGTGTCACAAACGCGATTGGTAAGGGGTATTAGTAAGTCCAAGATTCTGTAACCACACAAATTCAGGAGCATTTAATGTATATGTACATGAATACAAGCAACATTTCTACAATACATATGTTAAGAGTCACCCACTGATTGATTTAAAGTATTTCTGTCTCCTACCTACATTAAATTATTACAAGTTGTACACTCCAAAATGTTACCCTTACTACTGTTGCTTTTATACAAAGGTCCTTACATATATCTAAAACAGAATTAAATAATATTACCATGAGTAAACAGGGAACAGGTTGTCCTTATTTTTTCACTATTTACCTTGACACCACCATCACCTACTCCCCCCAAATCAAATTTTCTGTTACATATTTTAGGATCCAGTAATTTAAAACTTCATTATACCACAGATATAAGTTTATATCAAGAAAATAATTTTCCTTCTTAAAGGAAAAAGTTTTACTTTTTTTTTTTTTTAAAGTGTTGAGCTTTTTTTTTCTTAAAGACTTTATTTATTCATGAGAGACACAGAGAGGCAGAGATACAGACAGAGGGAGAAGCAGGCTCCTCGCAGGAAGCCCAATGTGGGACTCGATCCCAGGACTGGAATCACGCCCTGAGCCAAAGGCAGACACTCAACCACTGAGCCACCCAAGCGTCCCAACTTTTACTTTTGTTAAATAAAACTAAAGTTTTCCTTTTCTCATTAATAAGAATTTTTAAAGGTGGTGAGTAACATAAAGTGAATAGTATTTTCATGAGGAGGAAATAAGAACTTCTGCTAAAATATTCTATTATCTGAAAAGAATATGAGATCTTTAAAAACTAAGGCAGATTTATAAAGAAACTGGTTGCTAAGTAGAGGAAGTCCAAAAGAAAATCATTAAAACCTAAGTTCCTAGATTATTTGTAAACTTGCTTCCAGGACTCAGCTGGAAAGAAAGGACTAGTCTACTCTTCTAAAGTTTAAAAATAAAACTGGGGTTCCCTGGGTGGCTCAGCGGTTTAGCGCCTGCCTTTGGCCCAGGGCACGATCCTGGAGTCCCGGGATCGAGTCCCACGTCGGGCTCCCAGCATGGAGCCTGCTTCTCCCTCTGCCTGTGTCTCTGCCTCTCTCTCTCTCTGTATCTATCATGAATAAATAAATCTTAAAAAAAATAAAATAAAAACCTTTAAGGATAGATAGGTCAGCTATGAAATCCCCCCTCTTTCTGGGAAAAGAAAGGCAGGTTTACTCCAAAGCTACTTTCCTTTTGTAAGGTAGGCTTAAGATGATAACATTTAAGTAGAATTTAAACTCACAGAAGGCGTTACACTAGAAGTAGTCTATGGAAGAAACTGTCATGACAAACAGAATTCCCAAAATTGAGGACAAATCCCAAGAGGGTTTTGGTATCAATGTAAAGTTTATCATATAACTGTACCTAACACTTATGTTTAAATAACAACCAAGAATTTTAAGAAAAATACCAAATCTTAAAACCTAAGTATTCTGTTAAAATAAAGTATCTGTTTAATGTCCCTTAATAAATGGGTTTAACTTTTAAAAATGAGTTGGAAAAATTATACAAGGTGCAAAAATACTTACAAATATCTTTGAGGAAACAGTAAAATACTGTGCCACCTAGTGTCAAACTAACCAAATTACAGAATTTGGTTGCAATCATAAGTAACGACAATTTCTCTACTATTTTTAAATTAAACAACTATAAAACTATTAGTTTAGAATTATGACTCTAAATACTTTAAACATATATTTTTAAAGCTATTCATTGTATATTTATGTTAAGATGGGCTACCATATTCTCACAGGTATAACCAGGTCATCAGCTTCTAAGATTCCTGGAACCCCCAATTTCATGGAGTTCCAACTTTCTTCCTCTCTCCAGAAAACAGAAAAAAATTCAAAAAAATTTTTTGGCTAAGGAAAAAGAGTAATAGAAGCAGGGAAAAGTATCAACCTGGACTTGAGATCAGATAAAGAGAAGTCCAGTAAAAGGATCAAGATGGGAGAACTGTAAAACCCAAACAAAAGAAAGACTCGACCCAAAAGGGGTCACAAATTCAAAAGCTTTCTGAGGTCAGGGAGGTATCATAAATAAGTTGAATAAGGTCAATGGATCAAGAACTAAAGACAGCTGGAATAAAACCAAAGCAGAGAAGAGCATGGCCACAGCTTGAGCAATCAAAGGAAAGACTTAACACCCTGAGGATGCCCCAAAATTCCGTCTGTAGCCACTCTGCTCACACAAGACTAAGAGGAGCTGGGGTTGCACAGGGAATACACGGGGGTAGGGCTACTCATACAGTAGGCTGGCAGAGAAGGGAATACCAAGGATTTTGCCTAGAAACAAAGGGCCTGGCCCAGAAGATTTATTCCTTATTACATTTTGATTATGATACCATTTTTATTTTCTCTTTTAATACTTACTTTGTATGGCCCATTTGTGCAGCTGCATGAATAGGTAACTGCCAATTGTCCTCATTACAGTAAAGATCAGGATCTGCACCACTGGACACCAAAAGCTCGACACATTCTATGTGGCCCTCTTGAGCAGCAATGAACAAGGGAGTAGCTTTGTCCAATGCTTGACAATTAACATTTGCACCTAATACAAAATATAAGATTTAACAGATAATCCTAATTTATGGGGGGAAAAAGTGATTAACATAAATTTCAAAACAGCTGTCTTAAAAGGGTTTTATAGTACAATAGTTTTTCCAACCCCAGTGGATACTGTTGTGTAAACACTGATTTTCCACGTTTGCTGATAATCATTTAAATTGTGCTTAAAAAAAAAAGTGCTTTTATGTTAACAAGGAAACAAGTGATTAGTATTTTAGAATTCATTTTTAAGTTAAAACAAAAATCTTATTCAATGAAGGAATCATTTCATTCCAATCTGTGCTCCAGCAAGTACTCTGTGGGTCCAATAAGTAATCATTGAAAAGGGAAAAATGCAAACCATCAAATATGGGTAACATGTTTGATTATTACAGAAAAAGAGAAGAGAAATCTAAATTATAAGACATTATAAATGCCATTAATCAATTCAGGCTGAGATCTATGAAAAAAAAATTCCCCTAGATATGATATACCTTGTGGCTATGCCTTAAAACTAATGTTGACTATATTCTTCATTATATCTCTTTTCTTCATGACCATAGCATGATAGAACCTTATAATGAAAGGGAAAATGTCTAGTTAAATGGGTTTCTGAGATGATTTTTAAAAAACAAAAATTAATCAATTATTTAAATGCCAGTGCATTAAGATGTAAAAAAGTTGAAAGTGATCACTTTTTCTGAAGGCTTTAAAAATAGCTAATTTCCCTCAATTTTTTTTAATTTCCCTCAATTTTTCTCATTGACAAAGTGTGTTAAATATGCTAAGTATGGTGTCATTACATGACTGTGAGAATTTTTAAATTTCTCTAATATGTCTCAGTGGAAAAGTCCTCTTCAAAACAAGGGAAAAAACTATCTTTTTGAAAGGATGTTCCATAAATGCACCTGGAATAAACCACAGCCTTAAGATAGGTAAAAACTATGCAAAACACAAATAGCGAATTAAGGGATTTTATGGAACTTGCAGAAATTCCAAATGGACACTCAACACATTCAGACAAGTAGAATGTTCCTGACTTATACAAGGTGGATGCTTCACCTACCATCAGCCTCAGAAAGAAGGGAACACTAATTACTGAGAAAAGACTAAGTCAAGAAAGAAATCTACTTAACTTTCCTTTTTAAGCAATATTTCATTTTGATTGAAACTTTCAAACTATCAAAAAGAACAAGGAACCAGGATCTCTAAAATTACAGGAAGAAAAGTTAGAAAAATGACAGATAATCCACTGAAAAGAAAATAATTTTAACAAGTTAGGAACATAAAGCTGCATTATAAACATACCTACATACCTCTTTCAATTTGCTGTTCATAACTATTCAGACGGGGGAAGAAAGGAACAAAGCAAAACAAAACAGGTGCCTAGCATTAAAGAACAAAATAAAATGGAACAGGTGCTTATAGTATTCTGGGAGACATGCTAGGCATGAAGAAACAGTCATTAAGGTGCTGTTTAACCTTTTATTCTAAATATTAGTTACACACTAATAATTAGAACTTAAAGGACTGAAAGCCATAAAATGAATTAGGACAGCCTCAGGAAGACAAGTCACATGAGAAGAAAACCTGTTTCTAAGCCCTAATTCTGCCAGTAAATATTTTCTAGATCTTTGGCAAGGCACTTAAACACTCAGGGCCTATGATTCTCAATCTAAAAACATACATGTTGAGACACCTGAATGGCTCAGCGGTTGAGCACCTGCCTTTGGCATAGGGCGTGATCCTGGAGTCCCGGGATCAAGTCCCACATCAGGCTCCCTGCACGGAGCCTGCTTCTCTCTCTGCCTCTCTCTCTGTATGTGTCTCTCATGAATGAATAAATAAAATCTTTAAAAAATAAAATAAAATAAAAACATGTTTAAATAAGTGATTTTGAAGATTCCTCTCAATGCTAAGATTTACAGACTCAATATTTGTAACAGATACCTTAATTTGGCACTTAATATTTCTTCGCTCCAGGGCACCTAGGTCACTCAGTCTGGTTAAGCACATGCAGGACTCAATCCCAGGACCGGGATCATGACCCAAGCCAAAGGCAAACGCTCAACCACTGAGCCACCCAGGTGCCCCTGATCTCAGAGTCCTGGTATTGAGCCCCACATCAGGCTCCCTGCTCAGTGGGGAGTCTGCTTCTCCCTTTCCCTCTCCCTCCCTCCCCCTTTTCATGCTCCTCTCTCTCTCTCTCTCTCTCTCCCTCTCCCTCAAATAAATACCTTAAGAAAATTTTTTTTCTTTGCTCCAAACTTCAACTTGAGCATTTGAAGTTTGTAAGGAGAAAGCAGAAATAAGAACTATGTACTTTGCTGTTACTTTGCTGTCTAAATAAACTTTGTTTTATATATTTGGAGGTAACTTTTTTTTTTTTTTTTTAAGTAGGCTCCATGCACCCAACATGGGATGGGGCTTGAACTCACATAAGCCTGAAATCAAGACGTGAGCTAAGATCAAGAGTCATACACTTAACAAACTGAGCCACCCAGGCACCCTTGGAGGTAATTTATGAAAAATCTAAGTATGACAGACATATATAAAAAGGGTAGGTATTTTTTAAAATTTTTTTTGACCTACTGGCAAATCTAGTGTATTTCCCATCTACTCTTAACTATCCATGCTTCATCAGGTTATTTACTGTGAGTGAATACACAGTGTTTGGAGGAATTTAAAAGCCCTTACATAACAAACATTCCTGGTCACAGAAATGTTATACAGCAAAAGAATGCCACCTCAACATCATCTTCTCCAATGTGCAATGTTTGTCACAAAGAAACCCTTAGCAATTTTATGTTGCTATTAACATCATAAAGTGTAAACAAGCTTTCAAACAAAAACATACAAATAATCATACAATTCATCAAAACATACAACTCGAAGGTTTAATATACAAAATAGCTACCTAGGGGATCCCTGGGTGGCTCAGCGGTTTGGTACCTGCCTTTGGCCCAGGGCGTAATCCTAGAGTCCCAGGATCGAGTCCCACATCGGGCTCCCTGCATGGAGCCTGTTTCTCCCTCTGCCTATGTCTCTGCCTCTCTGTGTGTGTGTGTGTTTCTAATGAATAAATAAATAAAATCTTTAAAAAACAAACAAAATAGCCACCTAATAAATTAATTAAGATTATATAGTCTTAGGCCCTAGAAAGTTGGAACTGCTTAGGTCCCCATAAGCGAGAAAAGACCCATCATTCAACTTGCCAATAAACCTGCTTTGGTGATAGATCATTATGTTCCTCCTCAGATAAATTAGTAGCTGTGCATCACATTATGTTAGTAATAGACACTTAGTAACCAGACTTATAAATCAACATGTATGTACTCTTATTTACCACTAACATAAAACCATAAATTTCACAACCTGATTTATATCTGGTCAAGAATTATACTTCCTAGGAAGACACACAGTTAAAAGTCAAGATCTTAACAGTGCAAAGGCTAATGGATTAATCTTACCCGATGAAATAAGTATGCTCAAGCTTTCTAGCTTGCCATACTGAGCAGCAACAAATAAAGGTGTGATTCCAAAGTCATCTTGGCATTCCTTGTTTGCTCCTTTTTTAAGAAGCAATTTTATGATCTCAGCATTTTCCTAAAGCACAGATTCATATTTTAAATGGGAGAAAACAAAGAAAATAGAAGGTATCTCTTTTCTTATTGCTATGTTTTGGTTTTTTTTCATCCTCACTAAAGGAAAAATTTTTTTAAGTATATTGTTCAATGGGAAGGAAGTATTAAACAATCAGATTATTCTATACCTTTTGTTGGCCCATTAAACATAAACAGATCAAACACTGATCTCTAAGAATTATATAATTCGTTTAAAGCCTGTAAAACTAGTTTGCTAGGCCAAGCACTAAAGAGTTACCACAATTTCTAAACAGTTATAAATAAAATGCGCCATTGCTCCTTATCAACTTATATCCCAAATATTCTGTTGGTCTCTTAACTATGCTATCAACATATGAAAAACTCAGATAATCCCTGAAGCCCAAAGCTGCTGGAACTACTAGAGCAGTTGGCTTATTCAGAATGATCATTAGCATTTAGACTGCCTTTTCTGTACTGCACTAACCATCATAAATCACAGGCAAGTAGGAAGCAAAAACTGTATAGAACTGTCATTTTAAAAGGGTAAAACACATAATTTACATGGAAATGAAATAATAAATTCAGAGGTTACCTGAAAAGTAGCCTGGTGCAAAGCATTCCATCCACACATAGAATGGGATCCATTAACATTTGCTCCATGTCGAAGCAACAGCCTTAACACATCTATCTGTCCATTTTCAACAGCTGCAATACAGCAGTCAAAACAATTATTGTCAGTACAAAGGCAAGTTTGTAAACTGGACACTATGGTGATGTTCTCATCACTTATTCACCATGGAACTCACAATGCTGTGATCATTTCTATCAAGAAATCAAAACACATACTCCCTATGCAATACCAAAACATTTATCACAATTGTCTTAGCCCAAACCTATTAACATATACCATCCTTTCTGTGAACAAACAAAATTATTTTCAATCCTATTTAAAAGATACAGAGGAAACGGAAGCAAGAGGCAAACCTTTATTTTCTATGCTAATGAAGACGATGTTTCTATTTTGTTAAAAATGCAATTGGGAGAGGGATGGGGTGAACAGGTCAGAAGAAACAGCACCAGACTGAAGAACAGTCTCAATAGGATTGAAAGATTTGCTATTATTACCATTTGACCACAAATAACAATAGTCACTAGCAAACCGAAAAAGCAACACTGTAAGTTCTGCATCATAGATATTTTTTTACCATCATAAACGATAATGATTGTTTAAAAGGACTTTTTGTATCAATCAATGAAAATACAGTAAAACTGTGCTTATCTGACAAGGGGACTCCACATAACGTAAAGAGTATTATTAAAGAACTACATGTCACTTAACCACAGTAACTGAAACTAATGGCTCCCAAGATGATGCTAAAGTAGATCCTTTGAAGAACAGTTTGCATGCGCATAGGTATCTAAAAATGGTTTACCCTTTTACCAATTTCACCAAATTATTCTACTTTATCTTATGTACTGAATTTAACATGAGCCCAACATAAGTGTCACCTAGTATCAGATACATATAACAATTTATAAATCCTACCTTGTGAGAAAAAACATAAGGAGTGATATCACTAAGTTGATACACCACACAAGTGAGACTAAACTTCCCAAAATGTTATTTACCACAAAACTGTGCACTGAGGGTGGCAATGATTCTGGAGGAGTTAATGGAGGAAAAAAAAATGGAATGCTAAAAACAGAGGTATATAGTACTTGATAAAATAAGTACACACACAAATATACCTTTAGCAAATAAGGTACAAGGTGAATGATGTAGGTATGAGACTACTGTTAAGACTTATTGGAATTGTAAGTTTGGGGAAGAGCTATCAGAAAGTGTATAAGAAGGTCTGACTTCATATGCTTGGTAATGAGAAAGGTGGTTTGAAAAGCAAGTATGATTTTTTTATTTCATTTCAAGCATATATTTATTCCTTCTATTACAGTTACAGGTAAGAAGTAAATGAAATCAACAACTTTCAGTACACTAGACTTTTAAATGAAAGGCCACACATGAAAAACGCTAGCACACACAGAACAGGGAAGATAAAACATTTAAAAGTAGAAAACAAGAAATGGTAAGCATATTCATTATTACTAAAGATAAATAACATGTCACTGATATTCTATTAGTTTTGTATACTGAATTTATAGAAAAGTTTCCCCGTAAGTTCTGTAGTCCAGAGTTCTCTTATCAGAGGAGGTTTCAGAAATGTGATGGTTCAGAAACCACCATGGTTGAAACAGTACCACTGTAATAGATGTTTAACATATCTTATTTCTAAGTTAACATTCAGAGCATTTTACCAAGAAAAGAACAACAGTTTTTCAAGCTATTTGTCTATAATCAATCTAAAGTCAATCTAATTTTGGGTGGAGGTCATAAGAGAAAAGGGAGAAAATCTGTTTCATATCCAATTCATACATCATTATCAGAGATTGTCGGCAAAAATCATTCTCTGGCCAGACCCTGAGTTGAAGATTATCAGGTTGTTGGCAGTGATATATGATGCAGGATAAAGATGTTTGTTTTTCATGAGTTAGGCTGACCTTACAAAAATGAAAGTCAAAAATATTTGTTTTGATTGTTAAATACACTATAGTAGAGAAACAGAAAAATTATTTTCAACATCATAAATACATAAAGATATATGACATCTGCATCTCTGGTGAAAACATTACCCAATGGTAAAAGAGTAAAACCAATACATGAGCAAATAAATAGCATTATTATAGCTCACTAATTATTTCAATATAAGGCAAATTTAATGATTAATAATTCAGAAACAGTGGTTCAGAAAAGTACACTTAGAGCTTACATCTACTACCAAAGCCTCTCCTTTGGGAAAGGTGGATTAACTTATTTCTCCTTATATAACAAGTTACCAAAATAAGGAGGCAGGGTGCCATGCAGTATCAATGTATGTTATACAATAAAAGTTTATTAAAAAAAAAAAACAAAAAAAAGATCTGACTTGAACTTCCCATTTGCTGGCCTCCTAATCCACTAAGAAAGTATGTTCCATGAAGAAAGAAACTGTGTCTCGGGACACCTGGATGGCTCAGTGGCTTGAGTGCCTGCCTTTAGTTCAGGGCGTGATCCCGGGGTCCTGGGATGGAGTCCCACATCAAGCTCCCCATAGGGAGCCTGCTTCTCCCTCTGTCTATGTCTCTGCCTCTCTCTGTCTCTCTCACGAATAAATAAATAAAATCTTAAAAAAAAAAAAAGAAAGAATGTGTCTCATTCTGCTTGTATGCTTAGTGCCAAATACAGACAGAAGACAGGCAATAAATAACTGTTGCCTGGATGAATAGGGAAAAAAACATCCTAAAGGAAGTAAGATTTGCTCTTTTTAAGAACACATCCCCTGAAACTAAACAGGCTTCAGAATTAGACTTCTGATAGGACAACATAACTGGAACTAAACTAGCCTTCCCACCGTCAACCATCTTACCATACAAGTTAACAAATATGTAAGGCAACTTTTTCTGGCATTAAACAGTAGGTGGAATGTTGTGATTCCTGAGAGAAGGGAAATACATGAGGTAAGCCCCCTGACCACTTCAGCTCTCTGCCTGGCAACACTTCTTAATTATGGAACAGTGAGTTGAAGTCCAAGCAAGGCAAGGGTAGGGCTGAAGAAAAGGTACTCCAAGAAAGGAAACAGTTCAAGCAGAGGGACAGCAGTCCACTGAGATAAGGAGGCAAAGATTAGAGTTCAAGCAGTTGACATCTGGTGTGAGGACCCAGAGAAAAGATAAGTGCAGAGAGGTCCTGGTGTAGGAGATCTCTAAGAATCTTTGGCTGTGGGCTGGGCTGCACATGCCTAAGGCAAGACAAAGCTTACTGGAGAACTGCTAAAGGACTGAGGATAGAACAGAGATAACTAGAGGTCAAATGCTGCAGAGGGCAATGGAAATCCTAAGAGTACTGCCAGTGGTGAAACAATAGGATACCTCATTGCCTTGGGAGTAAAAACCACATCAGAGAGTAAGGCCTACTCTAGATCTGCTCTAAGCCTAAAATAAGCCCTGACAAGATGAGGAAAAAGGCAGAGGTTGGTAGGTGAGAGTCCTGCCTAATTAGACACACTTGGGAAAACACCTTAAGCTTTCCACAGATACAGTCTAACAAAGCATAAAAGCAAACCTAAACAAACTGAAGGTGATATGTTATTTTTTTTAAATTTTTATTTATTTATGATAGTCACACAGAATGAGAGAGGGAGGCAGAGACATAGGCAGAGGGAGAAGCAGGCTTCATGCACTGGGAGTCCGACATGGGATTCGATCCCGGGTCTCCAGGATCGCGCCCTGGGCCAAAGGCAGGCGCCAAACCGCTGCGCCACCCAGGGATCCCAAGGTGATATGTTATTAAATGATTTATTAGAAAAAAAGAAAAAAGGCAGCCCGGGTGGCTCAGAGGTTTAGTGCTGCCTTCAGCCGGGGGTGGGATCCTAGAGACCCGGGACTGAGTTCCACGTCAGGCTCCCTGCACGGAGCCTGCTTCTCCCTCTGTCTCTCTCTCTGTGTCTCTCATGAATAAATAAATAAAATCTGTTTTAAAAAAAATAAAAAAAGAAAAATATATACCAACATTTCTCTTATGAAAGAATTCAAATCTAACATGCTATGCACTATGTCCCATATACAAGTCAGAAAGCAGTCACCAGAAACTGACCCCATGACGGCTCAGATGTTGGATTTAACAGATGAATTAAAACAACTAGTATAAATATGCTTTAAAAATTTTAGGGGAATACGTTCAAAGACTTTACTTTTAATATAGATGGTATATAGATAGGTATACAAAGAGAATCACAGCAGAGAAATAAAGTCTTTTAAAAAGAATATTCTAGAGCTGAAAAAAAGAAAGGGATGGGCCTAAAAAAAGATTGGAGATAGGAGAAGAGTCAGTGAATTTGAAGACCTCAATATAAATCACCCAATCTAAAGAACTGAGAGAGTGGCGCCTGGCTGGCTCAGAAGAGCATGCAACTCTTGATCTTAGAGTCAGGAGTTTGAGCCTTATACTGGATGTAGAGATTATTTAAAATAAAACTTGAAAAAAAAAATGAAAGAACTGAGAAAAAGACTTCAGGAAAATCAACTATGCATCAGGAGCCTGTGGGTCATCAAATAGTCCAATATACATGTAATTGAAAGTCCCAAAGGAGAAGAGAATAAGAATGGAAACAGAAAAATATATATATTTCAAGACATAATGGCTCAAATTTTCCAAAATTTGATTTTAAAAGCAAAAAGAAAAGCCACATTGACTTACAGATCCCAGAAAATCAGCAAACCACAGCTCTTTGAAAGAAGTCATTACACTTCTTACGATTTCACATTATATGTAAATTAAGGATGACTATATAAACATACCTGACAGCTCCATAGAAGAATTCCCATGATTATAAGAGGGGCTATAAACAACAAGCCACTGAAATCAACCTCACAGCTATAATAGCAGGTTTTTTTTTTTTCAGAGCTCCTCTCTGAACTTAAAATCTACCATTTCATCATATCCTTCAAGACTCTGCAATTAAATTACTTAATCCAGACATTCCACAGTACCTGGGAGTGCATCAAGCACGAGGATTATAGCAGTCAACCCAACAGACAAGGTATTTGCCTTCATGGAACTTCCCTTCTAATCAGAGAGATGAGTAATAAACAAACATAGATAAATAAGTTCT